AGAGAATGAAAAAGTAGGAAAGGAAGTAAAAAATATGCGGAGTAATGCAGAGTGTTAAAGGCCAGAGACTTGCATTTGCAGGAAGGGAAAACTTGGGGACAACTTCCCACCCTACTTCCATGCCACCAGATCTAGCTTCTAGAGACAGAAGTTAATACAGCATCCTTTTTTTTTTTTTTTTTTGGGGGGGGGGGAAGTGGGGGAAGCTTTTTTAATCTTCCATGTTTGTGTTTGTGTTTTAATTCCCGTTCTCATGTTCCTTCCATGACTCACATCCTTTACAAAACAGAGATAATTTGTGTGTGTGCTGGCTTTTGGAGGAGGTGAAGGAGATACTGTGAGCAAAAGTGTAGAGTCTAATTCAACTTTTTTTTTTGTTTTTGAGAATTATGTGTTAGAGATATGGAACAGAATTCCTGATCTTTTATAAGCTAGTCTTAAGACAAGTGAGCTGTAGAAAACTGTAGAGAATTTTCTTTCACTTAACTGACAAATTTGTTTTTCCTACCATGTTATCTCTCTAGAAATGTAAGTCTCATCCAGAGTCAAATTATTCACTGCTCTTCAGAATAAAAATTGCAAGTTGTGAATACGTACCTTCCTGTGCACATGGACAGATCACAGTCCTAGCGAGAAAGGGTTCCTTTGGGCCAATTAACTCCTGAAATTGTCAGCCAGATCATTATAGCAGTCCAAGTAATTTCTGTTGCATTTCTGTGATAAAAGACTCATACCACTCTGGGGAAAACACAGAAAACTGTGTGGGTGCCTTGGCAAGCAGGGGTTTAAAAATATCTGTGGTTTGTGTGGCTTTATTGGATAAAATGTAGGATTTTCCACCCTGTGATTTAAATTTCCATGTGCTGGAGTTTGTAGAATTTGTTTTTCTGAAATGTTGCTTATGTCTAAAATGAAGCCCTTACTTATGTTTAGTCGGGGCTGGGAGGAATTGACTAAGAGAAGTGATAATGGATGCTCTGGAATTGTTGAGGGGCCCCAGAAGAGATGGATCAGTAGTAAGATACATTTTTTTAAATGTAGCCAATTCAAATTTCTCCTAGGCAGTCAGTGATGAAGGGTGATACTTTTCAAATGCTGACGTGCCTCGTCAATGACATGTGAGGAGAGGAGTGATACGTGGATTGGGAGGTTTGTTAAATGCCATCACTACGTACTGGATACCCCTTTCAAAGTTCCTGGCTAAAGTCTAAGGGGTGGGTTGAGCTGCTGCTTTGTCAATCTGCTGGGAGTGGTTTGACGCATGTGAGGATTCCCGCGCAGCGTAATGCATCTGTTTCACGCTGTTTGTTGGCTATGAAAAATGAACCCTAATTCAGTCTCATGAGTACTGAATTCAGGCATCCCATACATCCCTGCTTACGCCAAAAGGAGGGGAAGAATTAATAATTAAATATTAAACATTAAATATCAAACTAGTGAACTATGATAGAATAACAAGACATATTATTTTGAAAGTTACAGCACCATTTGTTTAGACCTAGCAGGTTTTGGCTGTCATTTGAGTACCAATACACTTACCTTAAACCACTTTTCAAGACTGAAGGACCTTAGATCCACATCTGTAGGGATGTCTCCTCACTACTACCAGCGAGCACTGCAGATGGTGCTTCTTTCGCAATGGATCTTGTTCACAGTGGCTCTCTTGAAGGCATAGGTCATGGACAGCTTGGGAAACATGACCAACACATCAGAAATGATGCTATTTGGTTATAATAAAAATAACCAGATAACTAAAAAGGTCTTTTAAAAATTAGTAAGTGAATGAATCAATAGTCAATTGCACTTACAAATTTCTTGCTATATTACCTATTCTGGTTTCCCTCTTTAAATAAATAAATAACTCTTCCTCTGGTTTAGTAAATTAAGAGTGACTCATGGAAGGCCTGGATAGATGTCTGAGACAGCACGACGTTTAGGAGTGGGAGAAGAGGAAGGGAGGAGATGGACTTCTGCTTCATAAGTGACTGACTTTGTACTTGTGTAAGAGCTCTTTCCCCTCTGAAGGGCGTCAGGCATACCCTTGAAGGAAGCTTTTTGTTTAAACTTCTTTTGAAGTTTATTTGGAAGTTATTTAGATTGTAAGAATGTATTTTTAACGGAAGAAGAAATCTGGAAGAGATTTCAAAAACTTCTGTGGAAAAAAAAGTATAGTTTTGCATTGTGCAGATTTGTCAAAATGATCTCAAGGATTGCAGTTGTGTTTGCTTTCAAGGCATCTTCTTTTAAGCTAATCCCTAGTTGACTTACTTTTCAAGACACTGCCAAGAAGGGCATGTTGGAGTTCAGTTGAATATTTGCTGTCATGGGTGAGGTATTTGGGTTGGAAATCATTCATTTTAATTCTCTAATAGTTACCAGGGTAATATATGGTTGTCATCCCTTGAAACAGATACTGCTTCTGTAGAGTGATAACACTAAAATGTCTTCCCAGTGTGCTACTCTGTTCTTTGATCAACCAAAATATTCTTGATTTCCTAATGATCATCTTGCTATCCAGCTTCTTTCGGTCCCTGTGTCTCTCTCAGCAATGCAAAGCAGCAGCTGGTGGTTTGAAACCTCTTTTTTCCCACTGTACACACATAGCCCATTGCTTTGCCTATTTTTGAATTGGCTAAATGGCTTAACCTTCTTGGTTTCTTACTCATGCCCCATTTACACAGCTACGACTTCTGACAAGCTGTTGCGATGAGGTTGAGTTTGAGGGTCCTTCTGCCTCTCCATGCCATGTCTAGGGGTTAAGCCTCCATAGCGCAGGCCACAGAGGTGAACATTGGCCAACTCCTCTACCATCTCGTTTGATATGTTGAGGGAGTAAAAGCATTGCAGCTCACCCTTACAGGGCAGAATAATTTGCTTTCCTGTTCCCCTTTGAAGTTAGGGACATAGCTGTGGCTTTGGGAGCTGCAGGAGCCATCTAATGTGTCCCTTTTTTGGGGTGCTGGGGTTCACCAGAAGCAGTCTAGTCAATGTTAGTAGTCGATGGGAAAAAAGATGTCCATGTCAGGCAGCCAGCACTCTGGTAGAGTGCTTGCATCTGTGCTCATTGGAGAGACCGACCAGCAGTGGAGCCTTTCCTGGTTTGGTAATTACTATTATTTGGACTCCACACAGGGAACACAGTAATGTCTGGCTTCTAAAATGATGATTTGACATAGCTACTTACTTCTTTTACAAATGCTTTATAGTAATCTGTATATTTATATGGCCTGGGAATTTATCCGTAATTTATCCATTATAAAACCTTTTGTAGTTCATTAATTGTAGGCTTTGGCAGACAAAAAAGGAAAAAATTAAGCTTTCCTTTTTTTTTTTTTCCCCCCCTTTTTTAAGGAAATGTCAAATTTCTCTCTTCTGTGTTTGGACTGCTACTGCAATGTAAGATGAAATATAAAGATCATAATATTTTGAAAATAATTGTCACTGTTTTATGCAATGTTCATTTTGACTGGTCCACTGCATATATTTAAAGGCTAATATTGTAAGGATAACAAAAGTATGAATTATATGGTACTTCTTTCAGTCCATTTACTTCCCTAAAGTAAAATCTTTTCTTCATTAATGAATTTATGTAAATTTACTTTAGTTCCTTTTGATATGCTGCATAAGTACGTGTGCTTGTAGGAACTTCTCCTAGCTCCTTAAAACAGATGGGGTTTTATGTTTTGAAAATAGGGGGTTTAATAAAAGAATCTTACACAGTCCTTCCCAACCTGGGCTACCTGTCAGTGGTCTGGATTTCTAAAGTACTATTGAGACAGCATCAGATATGCTGGGCTGTAGAGTCGTTAAAATAACTTTTCTGCATATAGGAGGTAAGGTTACGGCTGGTGATATTAAAGGCATTTTGTTCAGAGTTGTTCTGATCTGTTGTCTCTGGATCTCAGTCTGATTACCTGCCTTATTAATTCCCCTGCAATTCTTTTTATTAGCCTGAATGAATACAGTATTCGCTATGAAGTGATTCACTTCTGCTTTTGGTTTAACCAAATAGCGCATTAAGTCAATATGCAAAACTGTCTTCTCGTAGGGCTTGCTTTATCAATGTAATTTTAACTGTTCCTTTCATTTTAATAATAATTGTGAATACATTTCACTGCTAATATTAGTTTGTTTTACTAATTCCTTGTAGGAATTTTCGTAGTGTTGTGATTCTTTATTTCACTTGGTTCAATTTTTGCTCCTTCAGTAGTGAGTAGCATGTTTTAACTGAATGGAAGTTGGCATTAAACTCATTAATTTCTTTCATATTTAATTCTTTGGAGGGGTTTGGCCCAGTGGTTTTTTTGCTTACATTTATTTTAAAAGTGCCCGTATGCAAATATTTCAAAGATTAAGGCTTTTTTAGTGAAAAATAGAGTTTTAGGATGGTGGCTTATATTAACTTTTTTTTTTTCCTTGGTATGTCTTCATAAGATTAGTGAACTAAAGTTTAGATTGTATATAATCGCAGTAATAATATCCAGCTATTTACCCTTATGTGTAAATTTGCTGTTTGTATATATTTCATAGAACATTGACTCATACTGTCTGTTTGTATAATACAGGTAAATTTTGTAAACCTTTATTAGAAGTTCCTTCCTGAGTTTTTAGTAAGCCTAAATCAGGATGGATAAGGAATTCAGTACCTTGTGGTTGAGCAACATATTCTTTTATGGGTCTTTTTTAGTGGTTGGCCTGTGATTTGTTGGAACAGCCAAATACAAAAATCTGTTATGTGTTATTTTGGCTTGGCAGAAATAATGCAAAGAACTGTCAAAAGCAAAGAGTACGCAGAAGCTGTAATTTCCTTTTTACCACTGAAGAATAGATTTGGCTGGATTATGCCTTCAATGCTAATCTATCTCTGTGTGGCCAAACAGATTTTTGGAACCTTTTTGTAGTGTATTTATTTTTTGTTCACTTCAGGCCAAATGTTATAATGTCATATATTTTTTTGGCATATGCAGGGTGGTGATGTGAAGAAAGTTAGAGAGAAGGCATTGGAGTTAAGAACTCTGATCTAGACCATTTAAATTGAGATGGCCACTTGATTCCATTAGGGCATGGCTAGCAATACTTGTATGTTCAACTGTGGATTTTTTTTTTTTTTGACTTTACATCTTGCTTTAAAATTAAGGATCACATTTAAAATTCTTCAACAGTTCCAAAAGAATATATTGCGAAATTTGACCACAATTTTATACCTTTTTAGTTAATTCAGATGACTATTTAAATAAGCTTAATTTCAATCTTCCTTCTACTGGTAAGCATGTTTTTCTTTCTATTTTAACAGAAAACACATTTCCTCCTCTGATTGTAATCAGAACTCCTTATGCCTTCTTAGTTAATGATTAGTAACGTTTCTGCCTTGAAGCATTCATTTGATACATTTAACGTAATATCCATTCCTTCTTTGCCTGAACATGTTTGAACGTCTTCAGTATTTCAAAATGATGGAACAGGCGTACTCATGCTGTACATGCTTCTTTCTCTGACTTTAGCTTAGAACAAAACCGTTAAATGCCTCTTTCCACTCTGCTTTCCTGCTATACAGATGACAGCATCTCAGCTGCGAGCACGTCTGATGTCCAGGACCGTCTTTCAGCCCTGGAGCTGAGAGTACAGCAACAAGAAGATGAAATCACTGTGCTAAAAGCAGCGTTGGCTGATGTGCTAAGGCGTCTTGCTATCTCTGAAGACCATGTAGCTTCTGTGAGAAAATCAGCACCAAGTAAAGGTAAGCCCATAGTTGGTAAATTCTTTCCAGAGTCGCAATGTTTTAATTTAGAATGTTCTCCATGGATCACTTTTTTTTTTCCCTTTTCTGTCTCATTTGGAAAGGTAGGTATAGTTTGAGCTGGAGGGGTTAGTTTTTTAAGAGTTCTTTATAATATATGGCTAATAGAGATCTGAAATATGCTTATTAATTTTGCCGTTTGCTAAGATTTTTATGTACTTGACACCCCTGAAAATTTACCTTACTTCTTATTAAAAGGTTCCTGTTTTAATTTAAATGGTGAAATGCTTTACAGCTGCGGTCTTTAACCTGCCACTGAGGGTTCTGGGGCTTATGAGCAGCTCTGAGTCTCAGCTTTGACTTCACGTAGAAGTTATTCAACTGAAGGGGTGTATTAGAGGCTACATTTCCCCCTGCTCCTAAATTACAAAACAAAACAAAACTAAACAAAAAACCCAAAACACATTGCCACCAAATAAGAAAGTTTTCTGAATATAGTTAATTTTTGTTCATCTACAGAGATAACTCGTCACCAGCAGCTTTCTTGTAAGAAGTGGCCATGTAGCATCTCTTTTGCGTAGTGGCTAGTAACTTTTCCATTGTAACTTTGAAATATATAGGATTGTTTAAAAGTAAAGAAACTAGATGCTGTTTGCGCTAATTTTTACATACTTTTTTTTTTCCATGAACATTTCCTTTTCTGTTCTGGAGAACTATTTGAATCGAGTTACTTGAATTTACTCCAACTTAAAATTGTGTATTCAGAGAGAACTATGGCTACGTATGTTTGTGGTACATATTAAGCCTCTGATTAAATAAAAGTTTAGGTCATATTTCAGATAATTCGCAGTTCTAATTCACCATAAATGCATGTATCCCCATCAAACCGTGCAGCGCATAGTTTTCTGGGCTCAATCCCTGTATTCAGCCTTGAAGTACACCCATTACACCAACGCCAGTATAACACTGAACTGACACATCATAGCCTATATTCATTTGGGTGGCTGCATTATACAGGGTGAAAATGCAAAAGCTGAAAATGCTGAAAGTTTGAATTATTTCAGATGGGGCAGAGAGATCCAATTCCTTAATTAAGTGTTTTTGCAGTCTCTATGCCAGATGGAAGGAAGTGATGATGCTTAATTGGCTTGGACTCTGAATCCTGCCATTCTCTCTTGCTTGCTAAATGGTAGACTGTTGTCATCCTTGTTTATAAATGCAGCTTCTACCTGATATGCATCTCTGCATATGCAGAATCTACCTGATACGCATCTCTGGTCTCATTAAGATTGAGACTTCCTTCTCTAACTCTGTGTAAATAGAGCTCTAGCAAGTACTTCGACTAAATCAATCTTTGCTGTTTGCTGTCCATTATGACAAAAAGAAAATGTCCAAGTAGAAAACTGGGCAAAATGTGTGCAACATGGACCTTATTCTTCCCATTTAAATGCAGATGAGCTGGGATATACACAAATGTGGCTAAAGACCTTTGGCTTGGAGCTGCCTAATACCCAACAAACTCTGTGCACAGGCAGGGCAAACTTGCTGTGTTCTGCAAAATGCCTTGGGGGCCATCTCTTTACTGGGACTCTGGGGGTCCTGGGGCCATACACAGTTCTCCAGGTGAATTTGTTCAGTGAAAAATAAATTAATTATTTCTTTGGGGGGGGGAGGATGGAATATCTAAATATCTTCAGCTTTCTGCTATTACATCTCTACTAATTAATGACAACAGCATGTAACTGTGAAGAAAGAGATGGGGGCAGGGGCAGAGATGTACACATATGAGCTAATACATTGAACTTAAATGAGTTATGACTAATTGGCACTGTATTTAATTTGTGGTGGATGTGTCCCCATTGTGTTCAGTTACCTAATACCACCAGGCAACACATTAACTTCACTGTTTATCATGAAATCAGCTGCATATGGATGGTATAAAGATGTCACAAAAGAAAATGTTCACATACAGTCACTGGAATTCTGTACAAGTCTAAAATTAGACTCGAAGAATGAGCTTGAGATTAATACTGATTTAAACTTAAACATCAATATTTTAATAAATATTTCAAAACAAGTTCATACATAGCTCTTTGCAATACTTTAGGTTCTACTTTTGATTTCTGTATTTTAAGTTCATTCAATAGATAAGAACTCTTGAAATGTAACAAAGCGAAATGTATTATTTTCATGAGTAAGTAGGATTGGCAGAAGATCTGAATTGTCATATAAAAATAATACCCAAGGAAGTCATTGTTAATTTTTCTTTGAAGTATTTTACGGGTACATAACAGGCTTTTACTAGTCATGTCATGCTGCAAAGGTAATTGTATTCCTCCAAAACTCTTTTTGGTGTTCATGATCCTGTCAAGAATCTGGATTTCTGCATTACAACAATTGCAGTTTCATGGTAAATATTATAGGTAGGTTTTCTTTAAAAAAATGCTGAGGGTTTGATTCACAGAAGTATTTGTCTCTACAGCAGCCCTTAAATACATGCTGGCATAAATAATGAGCAAAGAGCATAGATGTGTATATATTTCTGAATACACTGAGAGACGTGTGTTTAATTTGAAGTATGGCAACTCAGTGAGATAAATACCTTTAAAATAAACTGAGTTTACAATAATCATAGTACCAGAAAAAGCCAACTTGAATCTTTCCATCAAACAAAAGAGTTTTAATCTGCTTAAGAGACAATATCTAACCTAGTTTGAAGGAGTCTTTCCTACTTGTTACTGAAATGAGTTTTCTAAAACCTCTCCATTTTTTTCTCTTGTTGCCACCTCAGCAGTGTCTCTGAAAAGACATTTTTCATAGGCTAAAAACAAGTCTTGTGAACAGACTGTGAATTGTGCTGAAAGGGACAAATCCCAATCACTTCTTCACTGATTTTTCTCGTTCTGAAGTTGCCCAACTTAGTGCAAAAAGAGATCTCTTCATCCTTTGTGTTAGTTTGTCTGCATTGCATATCTGGTGAGCTAATTCTGTTCTTATTTTTCTTATCCCTTTATTTTAGACTGACAGATTGAATCAAGCATAGCTGAAGCTAAAATTTTTTGCATTATCCTTGTAGTCCTTGTTTTTCTTTTTTCCTACATTTCTGTTGCATGCTTATTTTGAACTTAGTCCAGTCTTCAGTGAAAAAATTCACATGGGCATGGGTAGATTTTTGTTTCTAACCCATGGGCTATCGGGTTACTACCTATGATTTTGTCTGTCTAGCCCTGCCTCAGAAGCAAGCTGCTCTTCATACAGGGATAAGTGATTAGCTAACTGTATGAGATAAGCTAAAGGGTGAGATTTTTTTTAGCCACCCACCTTAGTGCCTCCTAGTAAAGCATGAATTGGAGATACTGTATGAGGGAAATACCTCTAGTAGGGATTGCAGCAGAATTAGCACTTGTCTGTTATTGCACAGTGAAAAGCAGACTGGGAGTGTTCGCACGTGGCTTGTTTTCCTCTTTAGTATTTCTCAATGCAAAGTCATTCTAAATAGAGAAAATCTTTTCAGAATAAAAAGGCTCTGATAGTACTTCCCCATCTCTGCACACAGCTAAGAATAACTACACAAAGGAGAAGTTACCAGGTCCAAAGATAGTGTTGAGGATTAGAAATGCGAAAGGGCTTGATTAGGGAACAGGTCCCCAGCAGCTACAGGGTTTGGGGGGATTGTAGTGTGTGGGTGCGTCTGTGGGTTTTTTTTTCCTTTCTTTCTATCTATCTTTCTCTCTTTCTTTTCTTTTTAATAGATGGCTTGGTAAGAAGAATTTCTTTGGTGAGAAGTTCTTTGCTTTTGGCAGCTCTGCACTCTTGTTGCCACATGTCTCTGCTGTTGATGCATGATTGATGCTGTTAACATTCACAAAAAGTTCCAAAAACAAAGATTACCTGGACACCAAAGAAAAGGAAAGCATAAAGCAGTCTGGTACTTGCGGCTGCCAGCAAGATAGATTGGCTCACAGCTGGTGCCTGGTAAATCTATTAAAATCTTCCAGGGTGTCAAAATGTGTGTAACAGGAGAATCCATCCCTCAGGCTCTGGGTGTGGAGACAAGTTTGTGGCACACAATGGCACCAGTAAAATGTCTCAGACTAATCATATCACTGGGGTATGAGCTCTTGCCTGAAAAAGTGGCCATCTACCAGAAAATAGATCTGATGTCTGCCTGTAGAGAAACAAAGAGTTCATGTCCTTTTTCTGGATTCAGAAGTAATGAGGAGGCTTGTCACTGGTTAAACCTTTGGAGGAACATTTCCTGTTGCTTGGAGAAGAATTGATATCAAATAACTCGTATGCAAATTCAGCTCACAAAGTGAAATTGAAGCAGTGGATGGCAGTTTGCAGAGAGGGTGTCCCATCAAAGCACAGGCTGGCAGACCGAGGGCCATTTATTTTACTTGAAGCAGTGATCTTGGGGATCTGCAAATGCAGCTATGTACTGGAAATGCAGATTTTTTTTTTTTTTTTTCTTTGTGCGGTGGATTTTTATAATAGGAACCTGGAGAGTTTTCCTGGCTTTCCTGCTCCTTTTCTGGTGTGAAATAGTGTGCCTCTTCAATGTCTCTTCAATAGGAAAAATGCTAAGTAGTATCTTGCATCAAATTCTATCTCATTGCACCAATGAAAGCAAAGCACTTCAGACGTAATTTTTACCTTATCTCAGCACTGGTTTCATTTCAATAACATTAAGTCATTTTGTTTTATATTAACAAAAATTGACTTCAGGTGTTCAGCAAGCTTCATTAATGAAAGCAAAAGATAGACTCACATTTGTGGTTTTAGTCTTAACACATTTTAATGTGCAGAATTGTATTAATAACTGGGTACATGTTTATGTTGTCTAATCAATAAATGTTAAGGGAACAAAAAATAGAAGTGTAGATAGAAAAGTGCTTATGGTGGAGGTAGGATACAGGCTGTTATCCACGTAATTAAGACTAACCTGGCAAGCTTGTACGTGTGTCATTTTACTCATGGGAATAGTCCAATTGAAGTCTGCAGGCTGTAT